TCCAAAAACGTTTTACAACCTGTTTATTCTAATGTTTGTCAGACACATGACCTGGCAGGAACATTTTTGGGGTTAGTCAGACGCATGGCCTGGCAGGCATGTTTTGAGGTTAATAATTTTTCACTCTAAATGTTTAGTTCGGCTGGAAGGAGTAATTTAGTAGTAGTGTGTGGGGGGGGTCGAGTTGCTAGAGCATCCAACTCCAGTAGCAGTACAGGGTTATCTGTCTGTGAAATTAAAAGGACACCAGGCACTTTTGAAAATCAACAGATTTTATTTCTTAGACGTTTGGGGTTTTTTTCTTGTTTGTGTTTGCTTGTTCGTTGCAGGTAGGGGGTTTAAGCTGTGTTAGAATGCATCTGAGAATCTTTAGAAACCGGTTGAGGCTCTAAGGACTCCGAAGGGAGTGATTCCAGGAGGTAACTGAATTTCAGCCTAGGCAGGGTAGACCTCTTTCCCGAGGACATGCCTGTGAATAACAGAAGGTATTTATATCCATGGCAAGGAGGTGTGTGTTAACCTTTTTCTTAGATTGAGCTTGTTCTTTGTTAAGGAAGGACAGTAGCTTAGTTTTACTTCCTGGATTATTATAGCAATAAAATAATAAGGCTCAGGATTTCTTTTTTAATTGTGGACTTTACGTATCTATGTAAAATGGGCATGTGTTAGATAGACGGCACCAGTATCTAGAGAAGTTCACGTCTGTATTTAAGGTACCATGAAGACTCCTACTAATTTCTTAGCCAGGTGTGGTGGCATGCACCTTTAACTCCAGTACTTGGGAGGCAGAGGCAGGTGGATCTCTGTGAATTTGAGGCCATAGTAAGTTCCAGGACAAAGAGAGACCTTGCTTCCCATCCCCTCTACCCCACATAAGCAAAAGTATTTGTTATGTGTTTAAGACAAGTCTTATTGAATCTATTTGTGGTATCCTTGCTAAGTAGTAGCCCATTTCTGTTTTGTTTCTGTATAAGATACGACACCTAATTTGTTTCTGTATAATATATAACACCTAATTGGGAGGCATAGTGAGAGAATAGGACCTACACATACTTCCAACAGACACACAGACAGGAAGGGGGAATATGGATAAATAATAAAGATGGCAAACTTCCAGCTTCTCCCTTATCCACCTAACTGGGACAAAGACCTGCTGAACTTTTTCTCCACCAGCAGGACTGCCCTACTCCGTTTCCTTCTATCCTACCAAGAAAGATACTTTCAAGGCCAGGCCTGAACTTGTTTATCTGAAGCTATGGGCCTATCAGCCACCTACATTCCACACTCCATCCCACTGTTTTGGGGGGTTTTGTTTTGTTTTGTCTAAACTGATCAATCTGAAAAAGAAGGATGGAAACAAATCCTAAGCTATTAAAATCATTTAAAACCCCCAGCGCTCTAAGGGTAAAATGGACTTTGATTTCTATATCCTCTTCAGGTTTCCAGGTTCTCACCAGAGGCAATCAGAGCAAATAAAGACTCAGAAGAGGTGAAAACAAGTATTTATTTAAGCAGAGGCAAAGAACAGAAAGATCCCTATCTGGAAGGACAGGGCTCCAAGGCTGACAGTGTCTGTGGACTCTGGATTAATCTTTTATAGAAGCCCCAGAGTCCTTTTGTCCTTTGGTTCCCCTCCCCCCTATATTCTGTCTCTGGCCCAGATAAATTGATCATTTTCCACTGCTGCAGTCTTTTCTGTGTTAATCCCAGGAACCCTCTCACCCGGTTTCCTAGTCTCCATCTTCAAGTCTTCCCCCAGTGTGGTAGTTTGAATAGAAATAGCCCTGGTAGACCATTCAAACAAAGGCTTGGTCACCAAGGAGTGGCACCGATAGGAGATGTGGCCTTGTTGGAATGGGTATGGTCTTGTTGGAGGAAGTATGTCAGTGGGGGTGGACTTTGAGGTTTTAAATGCTTAAGCCAGGCCTAGTGTCTCACTCTTCCTGTCACCTTCCAATCCAGAAATAGAACTCCCAGCTCCTCTCCATCACTGTGTCTGCCTATGTACTGCCATGCTTCCTGCCATGATGATAACAGACTAAACCTCTGAACTGTAAGCCGGCCCCAGTTAAATGCTTTCCTTTGTAAGAATTGCCATGATCATGGTGTCGCTTCACAGCAATAGAAATCCTAAGACATCAAGTATTGTCGTCTAACGTATCTCTTAAGGGAGTAGAAGGACAATTGTACTGCCTGGTTTTGTGTGTCAACTTGACACAAGCCAGAGTCATCAGAGAGGAAGGAAATTCAGTTGAGGAAATGCCTCCATGAGATCTAGCTATACAGCATTTTTCTCAATTAGTGATCAATGGGGGAGGACCCAGCCCATGGAAGGTGATGCCATCCCTAGGCTGGTGGTCCTGGGTTCTATAAGAAAGCAGGCTGAGAAAGTCAAGGGAGCAAGTCAGTAAGCAGCTCCACCTCTGCATCAGTTCCTGCCTCCAGGTTCCTGCCCTGCTTGAGTTCCTGTCCTAACTTCCTCCATTGATGAACTATGATCTGGAAGTCTAAGCTGAATAAAGCCTTTCTTTCCCAGCTTAGTTTTTGTTCATGGTGTTTCTTCACCACAGCAATAGAAAACCTAAGTAAGACAGTAGAGATGAAACTGTCCTAACTGCTTCTTTGCAGACAATGAGTAGCGGGGAGATGCTCTCCCTAGTTTACATATTGGTTGGAGAGGCTTCGGTTTTCCAGTCATAAGAGTTGGCTGGAATGCCTGTGTCAAAGTCTGAAACTGTTACATATCCTAGAAGACACAAATGTCTCAAGATTAAAATACAAGACTTAAGTAAGATGATTATGTGCATTAATCTCAGAAAGAGGGAGTGACAGGAGAGCATGACCATGTTTGTTTTCACAGTGTGCTTTTGGGGAATGTAATCTTCATTAAAAAG